CATTGGTGGAAACATGGAAAAGCAAATCTGAACAGGAATTAAATTAATGATTTAAAGACCTTCATACCAATATTTTCTATTGATTATTTAGGAGAGTTTTCATGTTTTATATGTCATAAAAGAAAATGCACATTACAGATCCCACTTTTGACGAAAAACACTTTTTTTATGTGTTACCTTATTTTCAGTCTTATTTACTATCGTCTATGGTTGGATACAAATTATTTTTAATTAAAATCTACAAGGTGTATTAATATTTTTCACCTCAAATGTAACTTTTCTTCCCAAGAAAAAGGACGCTTAATTATTTTAACATGCTATTCCTGCCCATGAGAACTGTTAATACACTCTGGCACCTTAACTGGGGATGTAGAGGTAAAATATTAGAGCCCACAGATTCAGTCACAAAAATAGAACCAACGCAAAAGGCACAGATTTTATAAAAAGATCTGACAGAAGAGAGCAAAATATTTACAACTGAAATAGTACACAAGAGCATCATTCAAACATGTAAAGAGGCTTTTTACATAGAAATGTGGGCATGGGTAGAGAATTTAACCTTAAATTATCTTAGATATATATATTGGACTGTTCAATTAATTAAAATTCACAAAATATATACGAATTAGCCCTTTTACACAAGATCAGTCATCAAAATTTAGTCACAGACTAGAGAAAAACCACTAAACTTAATTAGCATACCAAATGTACATTTAGAGTTCATCTGTGTGTAAATGAACATAATCAGTTCTATATGCTCTTCATACATAAGTGATTTTAACAATGCTCAAACCCCATGTCATTTTCTATATGTACAGTTTAAGTAGCTCATAGATAACAGCATCACTGGAAAGGATTTAATGGACGTTAATTAATGAAGTCCTAAAATATATGCGTTTTTTTTTTAATTATGGCATGCCTTACCACCCAGGATGCCAATTACTCCAGGGAAAACAGCCCGGGGTGGGGCTGGAGGTGCTTTATGGAAACTTCTACATAGACTTGTTTTATTAAAGGATGTTTTTTTGTGTGTGTTTGTTTTATTTCATTCAAATTTAAAAGAAAACCATTTTGAAAGAAGCTTGTCTCCGAATCTGTAGTATGTCTTTGATCATATTTTATGACTTTTTTTCAAATTTCAACAATTTTCCTGAGCATTAAGCCATTTTGCACAGCATGGATTATTTTATTTATTACATTTCAGTTTTTTTAAGTATTAATTCTAATTATACAAAACATAAAAAATATTTTAAAGCATTTTTTCCATCGGTATAGCCTTTTTCTTTTTAATATTTTTCTTTCCTGTTTTTTTTTTTTAAACAAATATGGACCTTTCATGTGTCTGCAATAAAGAATTAAATAGGATATGATCAGGCTAGTCTGTAACACTGGAGGCAAAATTAAATACTTTCTCCAGGGCACCATTCATGCATGAGCTGCCCCTGGTTACATGTGTACGTAAGAACTCCCTCAAAAGAATAATTAATGATGTTTTGCAGAGTTGCCAGAGCACCAACATGCCAAGACAAACATAACTGCAGCGTTAATTAATTGAGGTTAACGACTAACTTAATAACTCTTTATTTTGTTCAGAATGTGCTGATTTTGAAAACACTTTTTTTCTATCTGATGAAAAATGCTTATCTTTTAAAGAAATCCCCCCGAGGTTATAACACTGCATAACTTAAATAAGGCTGCATCAAGAATAAACTAGTGGTTGGAAGTTTGGGCGATTCATAAAAAAAATGAATATATTATAAACTGCTTTATTTTTGAAATTTAATAAAGGAGCTTGCTTATCTACATTTGACTGAAATAGCTGCAGACCAAACAGATACACCTGACTACTATATATATTCTGTACATGTATTAACAGCAGCCCATGTAGATTTCAAATTCCGTTTAAAAAAAACCTTTCCTTAATATTTATATTCTTAATATTTTATTGATATAATATTCTTACTATTTATTGTATGCTCAACTCATATGTGTAAAATGTAGAGAAAAAATAAGCTCACCATATTATCATAATGAGGTTGTGACACATAGAATTACATGAGAAGTATCCAGCACCCTCCACACTTATCAGAACTTCTGCTGGAGATGTTCCAGACATCTTGAAAAGAATTAAAGAAACAGAAAAGTCTTTCATTTATTCAGCGTTGTGTTAATCTTAACGCTTTTAAATGTGTTCCTCATTAAAATTTGATTGATTCATTTTGGAACCCCAAAACATTTCAAATGAAAATATAGGATAGAAAAGATTGTAAAACAAACTAGAAAATGATTCCTCAAAAGTTTGCTGGTTAGGACCTGCAGTAAAGATTGACATTGAGGGGTCAGCAAGTTTCCATAGCAACCATCAGGCACTATCTAAATGCCACATGGGCATTTGGGAAACTTAAATATTTGGAGTTTGCTATAAGCTACTGAGAACTTTCCCTTTGTGCTTTTTGTTCAGGTGAGATCACCGTTTGTTTTTTTTTAGTATCAAACATTGCGGGTGGATTTAGCATAAAACAAATTATGTATATATATATATACATCTGGAAAAGTACCTCATGGCAACTGCTAGGCATGTTGGAAGAGCCATGGTGCAGGAAGCATCAAAACCTCTTGAAACCTTCTCAACTTGAGACCCAGCTTCAGGATTTAGGTCTTGCACTCAGACCTAAATTTTAAAGAAAACCTTGAGGGAAACCTGAGGATGTCAGATTGTAAGGGACGATCCACGACAAAATGGAAGGGTTAAATCCTCCTCTCTGTACGTAGCAACCTTATGGTATGTTAGAGTAGAACACTGCATGCTGCCTGACGTTTACAAAAGCATATAATTCTTAATATTACCAGTTCTGGTGTCAGTATATCACACATCAATACAAATATATGTTACATTTTATATTGTGGGAATAATCTTATTTTGACAGCTTTTTCACAGGTATTGGTTCATATTGTGACTTTTCACAGTCATGAAATCATTGCAGAGGCTTTCAAAAGTAAAATTACTGTTTAAACACCACTTTTCAAGGAATTAATAAACCATAAAAATGAATAAATCATAAAAAAGAATCTCAAACCACTCAAGCCTCCACCTACAGGCCAGGATTATGACTGTTAGGTTGAACTGGTCTTCTCCAATTGCCCTCGTGTATGTGCATGTATGGTTGTTTGCTCTGTGTGTCTGTGAACCCTGCAGGTGGGATGTTCCCACCCTCTCACCCAATGACGTGTATTTTTCAAGTTATAGACAAATATCTCAGTTAAAAATTATCCTCTATATTAAAAAGAAATCCCCCCCAAAACAACCCTTTTGATTGTTTTTGGGGTTAATTCATACAGGATATGCTTTGAAGTGAGAAATGCATTATAATGACCAATTCTGGATCAGTATTTTATATCACAAAACTTTTCTGGAGCTACTGTTTGAATATCTAGAATTATTCATTTGACAAGTACACTGAGCTCCCCTTTTATTCTTTCTTTTTTGTGTAAAATGGCATTGACACATGCATTATGGGCACCTGTTCATACAGCCCTTGTTTAAAAAGCAAAGTCGTCGGTCTAACAAAATCATTTTCCAGATATAACACCTTACAGGCTGGCAAGCAAAAAAATACAAAAAGTGAAAGTGGAATTAACAATAAAGAAGAAATCGCTAACAGACATTGAAAATATTGCAATAAGAAAAGGCAAACTGACCAAGCATTATTTATATCTGAAACAGCAAGGAAAGAGAGCAATACATGTTTTATATGGATTTATATAAAAAGTACAGCAACAAGACTCATTTGTAATGTCAGGAATCCACAGCTGCTGTAACTAGAAGATCACTTCATACTTTTTGTAATCCAGTAAGTCAACAAAGATTAAGACAACAGCTTAAAAAGATACACCTAATTGTTTTTATTAAATTGCTTTTTTCTTGTAAAAAAGAGGCATCATCACCAACCACACAGAATACTACTACAGATACTAATCTCTGATGTTTTAAGGTGTTTTGTGAGGAGAGTGTAAAACCATCAGTTTAAAGTTTTAACACCTAAGAAGGATTTTTTTTTTTTTTTACTCAATTGAAGCTGAATTGAAAACATCAATTGGGGCTAAAGAAAAAACAGTAGAAGAAGTGTTTATAGAGAGAGAGAGAGAGAGAAAGAGAAAGAGATGTTTTTGTAGATCTAAATTCTTTGCTCTAAACTTGTCCCCTATCACTTTAACAAAGTGGAGGGGGTGTGATGCTGCGGGCCTATCTCTGTCTCACAGGCAAGGTGAGACCTTTGTTAGAAGGCTTGGTGCAATTAATTATTTTAAATACTGGAAAAATCTAAGTAAAATATAATGCCCTGTATCAGAAAACTGCAAATTATCTACTGAGACAATTATAGTCCAAAACGATAATTTGCAGAGAAATTGTAAACCAGACACTAATTCAAACTTGTTCCCTTGCCATATCAGTCCCTGGACCTAAAAGAAAGACCAGAGTGACTACATTAGATCCTTCTTCTGGTCCACTCTAACCTTGTTAAATCTTATAGAAGATTAAGTGATGTCAGAGCAGCCAGTACATCTTCCAATAGTGAAGCATTTCTCTTAATGTTTTTGCTTGCATTGACATTTTTTTTTAAACTACAGACAAAAAAAAAAATAACTTTATTAAAGGATTTTTTTCTAAAATCTGAGTGAAATTACTCTATTGCAGATGGCCGCTCACGCTGAGCCATGTTCTGCTGGAGGTTTCTTCCTGTTAAAAGGGAGTTTTTCCTCTCCACTGTCGCTACAAGCATGCTTAGTGTGAGGGATTGTATTTGAGTCAATGAGTCAATGCAATCAACTGGTTTTCCTTAGATAGAAAACTTTGTATCAATTTGACTGTATGATCTGGTTGAACTGTAAAGTGCCTTGAGATGACATGTGTTGTGAATTTGGCGCTATATAAATAAACTGAATTGAATTGAATTGAATATTGCCATTAAAGATGTTTTTCTTTTAGCTGTCTATCTAGTGTGAGGGGTGCTGAATCTACTTTTATGTGCTGTAGAAAGTTGTTTCCAGTCATTTTGACTTCCGTTCATTTTCCAACATATTCTCTACCAACATATTAAATTCAAAAATCACCTGCAGCACATTACTCTGCAGACAAACACTAGTAAGTATCAACAAACACATACGTGTTGGTAATAAACTGTTAACCAACTCATCAGTTCATTTTGTTGTTGACATTTGGATTCTGGGCGCTCCAGCACAGCTTGTCCTTGCCTCGCCGTTTCCTCCTCCACTGACAGAGCAGAAGCATGCGGAAGGTCTTCTGGAAGGTTTTGTTGCACAGAGCGTAGCACATTGGGTTGATGGTGCTGTTTACGTAGCACAACCAGTAGCCCAAATGCCAGAGAGACAGAGGGATGCACTCAGCGCAGAAGGTGGAGATGAGCACCATGATGTTGTATGGTGTCCATGTGAGGATAAAAGCCAGGAGGATGGCGCTAAGGGTCTGGGCTGCCTTCTTCTCCTTCACAAGCACCATCCTCTTCCTCTTGGTGATCTGGTTCTTCAGGGCAGAGTCTAAGGGCTTGGAAGTGGTGGAGGACGAAGAGGTGGAGGCCTTTTTGGATGACCGCTCTGGCTCTGGAGGGCATGGTTTTGGACTTGCTGGACTGTCATTTTTACCCTTTGGGGTCCGTTTAAATTTGTAAGAGATTAAGCTTTTATGGTTCTTCTTCTGAGGGGTGGAACAATACTCCTCCTCTATATAATCTGGAACCTCCCCATTCTTATTACTTTGTCTGGTCTGCTGCTCTTTGAACGATCCTTGTGGGGTTTCTATTGAAACATGATCCTCTTCTGATGATGTGTAGCTGTTAAAAGAGGTAATCTGATCAGCTTTCGCCCATGCTTCATCCGACCTGGTGGTCACTTTAGTAACATTACTTTGATTAGACGAAGACCAGGAGGCCTGACTCTGGTCTCTTCTCTCTCTGGGGAAATGAAAACAAGAACGAATCATTGTCTTCTGCGGTTTAGACCCTTCTGGGACATTTCCCGTTGTGAGTCCTTGAAGCTCGGCGAGGTCCTTTGTCCGTTTTTGCGTCTCCTTGTAGATCCTGCAGTAAAGGATGGTCATAACCGAGACCGGGATGTAGAAAGCAGCAATAGCTGTTCCAAATGTAATGACTGGCTCTGTTAAAAACTGGATTTGGCACTGGTCCAAAGGAACTTTTCTCTCTCCCACAAAGTACTGCCAGCATAGAATAGGTGGTGCCCAAAGGACAAAAGACACCAGCCAAGCCAGACCAATCATTATGGCAGCTCTCTTTGGAGTCCTTTTTGCCCTGTAAGTCAGTGGCCTTGTGATGGAGAAGTATCTGTCAAAGCTAATCACAAGTAAATTCATGACTGAAGCATTGCTGGCCACATAATCCACTGCCAGCCAGAGATCACATGCAATGTTCCCTAAGGACCAGTAGCCCATCAGAATATAGGTGGTGTAAAGGTTCATAGATAGTACTCCTATAATGAGATCAGCAAAAGCCAAACTAAGCAGGTAGTAGTTGTTTACAGTCTTCAGCTGGCTGTTTACTTTGAATGACAGCATCACCAGTACATTTCCTACTATAGTTATCAGACTGACGATGGCCGACACTGAAGCGATGGTTATGACCTCCCAAAGGCTGTGAGCATGTGTCGTATTGCTGGAAGTGTTGTTTTGGAGATCCATCGTCTTTTTCTATTCGTTTTCTTATAGATGTTAGTTTCCTCTTTTTGTCCCCATGAAGACGAGGTGGCTACCTAAAATAAAACAAAACAATAATGTTGAGATATAAATATAGAAAATATATTTGGAAACAACAAATATATTCAATGAATCATCAACTGTTTCAGTTATATTGAAGGTAATAGTTCAGTTACAAAAAAGAAGAAACCATATTTTCTTTTTCAATTTGATCTCAGAGATAAAAGGGCTGCTATACTCAATTCAGCTCAACACGGGTTCTCGTTTAACTTACATTTTCAGAGACGCTATCAAGCTATGTGTTTATTGTCGCATCCAAATGAACATTGGCAATAAAATCCAATTCGGTAATGACACACTTACTGCAGGATCTCAGAGGGTATCGTTTTTGAGTTGATGACATCACAAGGAGCAGGGCAATCAAGCTAAACAGTTTGTATTAGAAACCATTATGGGAAACAAGCTTGTTCTGAAGCTTTTGAGTTGCTTTTAAGATGTAAACAGTTCATTCTTAGGTGTTTAAAGCACAGCCTGTGTCTCATTACCCTCAAGCCATGAAGGAACTGCAAAAGGTGGTCAAGCTGAAGCAATTAATGACAGTGGTTATGATCGTCTTCAGGAATTTAACTGGTAAAGTTATTTTTTACCTGGTCGGTTTCAGTTAATTTTCATCATTGTAATACTTTTCAAAGTTATATTATATGCCTATCTGTCTTTAAAATAAAAGCAATGTTCATACATATCCATCAATGTTTAGCTGCAATTGCAATAAAGCTTATATAAGAATGTACAAAAAAAATAAAATAAATAAACATCTGATTAGTTGTCTTAAACCTTGTGTGATGTCCCAGAGGTATGTTCATGTTATTTTTATCTAAAGTTTTTCTTGTAAGAATCTGAATGTGCTTAAATTTCCATTTTGGGTTCCAAAGGACTATTGTCAAGTGTTTTCACAGTTGCTAAACAAAAATATATTTGGCAACATTACAAAAAATACAAAAACAAACACATCTAGGCCTTTTAAAATACGTACTTATACTACTCTATAGAGTTTGTATTAAACTCTGTTTTTAACATATGTTTGATTTAGCATAAAATAATAATATCAGTATTTAAACGAGATAATATTATTTGAAATAAATTGGATTTGCTGAACGGTTGAAAATGGAACTATTCAAATATTTATCGGACACTATTTAAGGTAGGACCTCAGAGCGCTCCAAGCGGTACCACCTGCTAAAGTGTCCGCCCTCGGATATAAAACAACAGTAATGGAAGGTAGAGTTAGTCGAGGCAGAGGAGGCGGCTGGAGGAGAGGCGGCAGAGGTGGACACGACAGCGACAGCCATAATGGTGACCACAGAGGCCGGGGGAGAGGAGGTCACCACCGCGGCAGGAGCAAGCGAGACCACCACCGGGGACGCGGTCGCGATGGAGGCTACCATGCTGCAGCAGAGTTCCCTCAGCGGGTGAGACCCGCTCTACCAAACTTTATCGCAGTCTCCCCTTTTTTTGTCTGTGATAAACGAAGCACGACTTTGAACAATATATAAATGTTTAAAAACTAACTTGAAGCACAGTGTTTTTAATTCGGCATTGTCAAAAACACAGCTAAATGAGTTTTGGCAAACTCTACTCCTCAGGAGCCAGTTCAGCACAGCTTCATCAATTTTTATTTTTTATGACGATGTATCTGAAAATTAATGACAATTTGAAGTTATATGTCCGAATAGCGACGCTCCAAAACCTGTAGGACCCCTCCGGCTCCTGAGGACTGAGCCACTGATGGTGCAGCTCTTAAAGCGTGTTTGCTTACAGCTCTAATAAACATACAGAATCTAAGCCTTTGGCATAACACTTAATTTCCCCCAGGATGTTCAGTCATATGATACTCCTGGCAGAATCGGACGGCAAACAATAGGGGCTCCTTGATTGCAATCATAGAAATAAGCTTTGTTACATAGGGGCTCCTTGATTGCAATTATAAAATCATGCCTGCCATGTGGTATTTGATGACATGGCTGGGGGTGCTTCCTATTGTTTGACTTGAGAGAAACACAGAGTGCTCTTGGAATATTCTGCAGACAAGCAGGAAGAGCCGTAGCTGTAGAGACAGCAGTAGGACATTAAATTGATATTATTATGGAAGGGATTTCTTACAGCTATGAATCTATGTGTTATTAGATTATTTACAGAAATGCATCTTTACTTGCGCTGAATCTGTCCCTCTTAAATCAGGACTTTAGAATATAGGAATATACGATACCGTGGAAATGTATTCTTATTACTTGCTCTTTCTCATGATGATTTTTCTCAATATATTTTAACAGGTTAGTAAAAATGAACCAAGACAAAATAACAGAAGTAAAATAAACTGACATGATATCTAAAAATTTATATATTGCATGTATTAAAAAGTGTGACTCAAATTCCACCTAATAGACTTCATTCAGTTGTCTTTAGAAGTCACCTTTTTCTGATTTAGTATCATCTAAAGTACGGCAGCTCTGTAAAGCCCTAAGAGTTATAATAAGTAAACAAACAGCTGCATCAAGACCAAGCAATGCAGCAGACAGGTCAGGGGTACAGTTGTGGAGTTGTTTGAAAAGTGAGTCTTGTAGAGCTTTCCACACCTGCAAAGATTTCCAAGACATGGCTGTCTGCCTTCATAAGACGAGAAGAAAATAAATTGGAAAAATAGTCAAGAGGACGATGCAGAAATGAGAAATGAGAGATGAGATGGGGAAAACAATCTGATGACAAGGCTGCTATTAGTTGTACATTCCACAAATCAAGCCCTTATGAAACATGGACAAGTGCTAGAAAAAAGGTCTTAAAAGTCCTCAATGCTAACGTTGTGCACAGCAAACATGTAGAAGAAGAGGCTTTGTTCAATATAGATTAATCTTTAACTTCTTGTTCTGTATTTTAAAAACAACACGTGTGTCAGAAAAAAGCGGTGCAGATCCCTAGAAAACTCATTCCCACAGTAAAGCATAGTGGTGGCAGCATCAGGCTGTGGGGTAATTTTCTTCAGCTGGGACATGGAAACTGGTCTAAGTTAAGAGATAAATTGATCTTGCTGCACAGTTTATTAAAGCTACAGTGTGTAATAATTACAGGCATATAAAGTCAGAAATTTAATATATTATACATAACTATGTTATTTATCATCACCTATGAGCTCAGCCTTTTAACCATAATATTTGCGTTGCCTTAGAATTCGTTATTTATAATTACATAGGAGCGGGTCTCGCAGCCATGGAGGCTGACATCTTTGCGCTACGGCAGCGCAGAGGCAACAAACTAGCGATTGCGAGATCTCCCATGACGCTCAAAAATAACTACGGCAAGTTGAGAGAGATTAACTGAGACGGTACTGAACAGTAGATGGCAGTATTATGCCTGAGAAGCGTTTAGTCTGCCTGAAACCAAAGAAGAAGAAGAAGCAGGTATACTGCGCCTCAGTAACAAGAAAGGTGAACAAGGCGGCAGGCGTGAGTGACTTTGCAAACTGTTTGGCACTGTGTGGCCAAACATCAGACGAATGGAGGATCATGCCTACTCTGTATCACAACGAACAGCTGCGGACACCGAACCCCCGTCATCTAAGAAGCGGAAACACGACGAGAATAAACGCAAGAGTGACAAGAAACGACAAAAAACACGGATCAACATTGGCACGGCATTTACACGATGGAAGTCACTGATGGAGGAAAAAGGTTTTCAAAGTGACGCTCAAGTTGCCAGTTTTCTCTTGGACAGGTAATTAATCCTACACACACAATTGTCTAATATCACTGCAGTTTTTGGAGTACAGGATGCTCAGACCTGTCTAAAACAATAACATGCTGCGTGATGATGCTGTTACTCTCCAGTATACTTATTCAGCAACGTCCCTGACGTTTCACAGGTAATGATTCAGTAATTTTCTGTAAAATAATTTTCTGGATATATACCTCGGTTACTTCTCTCCGGCTCCTTTGGAGATCTTCAAGCCTTTCCTCCTCTGCTCTCACCCCGCTGGCTCCCCTCTCTCGCCTGGCCCTAGCTGCACGGCCTCCCTGCCTTCGCCCTCGTCCTCTCCCTCTCCCTCGCGTTGTAACCCCCGTGCCACCAAAATGACTTGGACTCTGTAAACGGGGGATATATATTCTTCCAGCGAACACAATCTCGCTGTTAAACTAATGACTACAATTACTTCATCTGTTTATATCACCATGCAAAGCAGCTCACCAAGACGTCACAACGATGTAGAAAAAATAACGGGTATATTTATTATCTTAAGTCTACATGAAATCTATACCCTACACAGACTAATGAAATACTATCTGTAAAATTATCTATGTAAACAAACCTCATCACTTGAGAGGGTAGGTGATGTGGACGTCGTAGAAGAAATTTTGTCCCGTAACGCTCGCCGTACTGTTGGGGGGGAGAAGCGGTGGGGGGGAGATGTTCATGTTGCTGCGGTCTGTAGTCTGACCGCTAGATGTCGCTGAAAATTACACACTGTAGCTTTAAATGATGTAACATGTTCATAATGTTAAAATGGCTTATTGGAGGGGGGAAAAAAACTCTTTTTGTAATAAAACAACACAATTATTTTTGCAATAGTTTAGGAAAAAACAAAGACCATCAAAACATTCAGAGGAAAAAGTTGTATTTTATTTCAATTAGCTTATTTTGGTGGGAATTTCAAAAGGTAATCCACGCTTCTGGTTGGGAATGGAACTCGGAAAGTTTGCATTAAGTGTTTTCATATTAAGAGAATTTCTAGTTTAGGTAAATCAAAAAAGCTAATTTTAAAGCTTGGCTTGAAGTACAATAAGGATGCTTTAGGCAACTAAACATTGTTCATTACCTTAATTATTGTGTTAAGCTATCAAAAATGAACAGAATTACTGTTCAAAAATACACTCAAGGGGGAATATTTCAGTCGTTTGGAAGGCACAATATGAAACTGATGCTTTACGTTTGTCAATTGGTCTCTTTTTTATATTTTTTTCCCCCAAATTTTCTCACCTCTTCTTTTTTTTTCTTTCTTCAGCAACAAGAAGACGAAGAGAACCTAAAAGAGGAAGATGACAGGACAGCAGTGTTCTCCAGAAGAAAGCTGGAGTCCAACTGGGACCGTTACGAGGAGGCAGAGAGGGCGGAGGAAGATGACAACATGCCGTCTCAGAGAGGAACAGACTACCACGTGCTGCTGGAGTCAGCAGGTAAGATCTCATCCTGATTTGTTTAATTTCTGCTGTTTTGCTCAAAGGGCTCTGATTGTTTTCTGTTGCTGATTCTTTTGGATTTAGTGAAATCTTGTTTGGTCTTTCTGACCTATTAAGTTATGCTGTGGGGAAGGAGTGTAGCTGTTCTGGATACCGATGCCAGATTTGCTGCTTAAGAGGTGGTTGTATTTTGTGTAAAGCCTCTGAATTTGTCGATTTTATTTTTTTCTTCAAATGATGACAAAATATATGGGGCTTTTCTCACTGAAGTTGTTTGGTCATGGCTTTTTTGTAGAAATACAAATGTGAAAAATGATTTGCCCCAGGTTACCTGGTTTCCACTGGAATGTTAAAGCTTCAGCTCCCTCCTCAGATTTCCTGGAGGACTGAATGATTCCTTTTTGAGATTCTTTTAAACCACTTTGTTTTTGTAATTGATGTTTCTGTCTTGCAAGGTGAGCCAAAAAAAATCCCATCCTCATTCTTCTGTCTTATAACAGAAGGTTCTAGCTTTTGTTAGCGGGTTCTTTTTACTGTTTCTCAATGTGCGATAGAGCCTCCAGTGTTAATTTATTTTTTTCAGTTAATCTACATATTAATTTTTTGACAAATTAGATGACAGTACTTCATTTGTTTTTTTTCCCCCCAAAAAGTACTTGTTTTTAAATGTTTTTGATAAAAAAAAATCACACTCCAAATTATTATTCTGATTGTTATTAGAAATTAAGAACAAACTATGTTCCAGATCTGACACAACAAAAAAAAAATAGGAAAAGCTATTATTATTTTGATGGATTTAAAAAACAGAAAATGCAAAAAATAACTATTAACAGTGTAAAATATAAGCCCTGAGCTGGAAATAAACATAAATGGTTCTTAATTTGGATTAAAACTAATCTGTATAGTATTTGTATTAGTTAAAATGTTATACTATCATTCTGTACTCGCTGAATATTTAATCATGACTATGATTGCTGGTTCATAGGGTTACACATACAGAAACACTCAGGATGACATTTTAATTTCATAAAAATTAAAATGGAAACTTAATGATCTTTTATAGATGCTTGAAGATAAAAAGCTTGCCGATTTGTGCATCATTCAAAAGATGAGTCCAAAGAAAAAGCATACATTTCTTTCCTTAAAAGAACAGATACTTATGGAGCATTTAATTTACTCCATATATTTCTGATACTGCTTAATTTCTTTATTTGTTGTATTATAGTGAATGACGCCCCAACTGTTAAATGCTGTAATGTAATGCACTTTATAACAACCCCACAAAATCTATACAGATCACCAAATTCTGCCTTTGTGTCCAAAATCAGATGGAAATAATCTCACTTTGTGTTCTACATATACCCATACATGGGTCTAAGAAAAGAAGAAAACTATTTTAAACATGAGAGCAAGGAAAATTATTCATGAGACATAAAGTTTTACAAAACCTTCGACTCAGGTTAACAACGTCATTTCTTGAATTATATTGCCAAACTACATTTAATCATGATGTATTCAAATAAGAAACATGTTGATATTACAAATATGGCTAAAAGAAACTCAGTCACATTTTGATCTGTTATTTCATCATTAGGCTGTTTACTCTGTGATACATGTTCCTATAACTGCATTTAAATCTTAGTCATCATTCGCTTTTTATTATAAAAACAAACGCCTGTCTGTGATCTGGGTACTATCGTCATTAAAGTGGAAAAAAACACGCATACTGTTATAAAGTATCTAGTTAAGTGTGCGTCCCAGTTCAGGCTGCATCCTTCTAGGACTCTGGGTTCTTTGAAGACCTCAAAACAACAAAGGTTAGAAGATTAAGAGAATAAAAAGCTAGTACAAACTATGCCACATGACAAAAGTTAAGACCAAAAAAAATATATTTAAAATACAATGGTTTGCAGTTTTTATTATTAACTGGACACATGTCAAAACGTCCTGACAGGACGTGCCCTCTATGTTCTGTATTGTGATTAAAATCATGTTGCTTAGGAACACGTATAACCCCAGGGGCAATGTTGGAAAATTAACATTTGTCTAGGAGGTATTTTCCAAGCACAGTCAGGTATATGATCATGTCAAAATTGAGAGAACGTCTAATATTATTTTCTAGATCCTGACCATTTGCTTCGACTTTTACTTTATTTAATCCTTGAGGAACTTGATCATTTATATCGAGTGTCTAAGCTGAGCAAATTATTCATCTACTAATATACACTCCAGTAGAATAAAATTAAATGATCTAGTTTTGAAGCTACTGGGTAACAAATAAGACTTAAATAAGCCAAACATTAATATTATGTATTATATGATATTGTCTGACTAGTTCCTGTGATTAACATCCACCCAGCAGTTAAAGCAGGTTGTGGCTTCAATGCAGTGAGCAGGGGAACAGAAATGTTCTCCAGATGTGGGAGGGTAGATGGCTTTTTTGGAATCTTAATAAAGCAGGGTGATACATGAGCTACAAACCTACCTTTTAAAAAGTTTTATTATTTTGGTTACAGACTTTTATTTAGAAAATTTCTTCTCAATTTCTGCCACCAATGTCCACAATTGCTGCAAGAGCTTGACCAGTCTGCTTAGAGCCACAATGGATCATGGAAAATGATGGGCCACAAAGGGGAGTGTCGGCCTAGTTGTTAGGGCATAGAGCTAGGAATCCTGAGGTTCTGAGTTCGAGCCCCACTCCCACGGACTGCCACTCTGGGTCTCAAAGCAAGACCCCCACACTGCTCCGTCGGGCGCCCTACAATGGCTGCACAAGGGGAAGGGTTAAATGCAGAGCTAAATTTCTCCAATGTGAGATCAATAAAGTTGAATTATTAATTACTATAAAGGCACATTTCTTGGCTGCATTTAAAGGAATCGTAGGAGGATTCATGGATTGGGAGACGGTTGGCGAATTGCTATAATGTAATTGTTCCACCAATGTGCCTTTTGATAAATGTAGTCCCTCAATTGGGACACTCCTAATTGTTTGTTTTATTAGTTATTTTCCTCAATTAATTTCTCTCCTGAAGAGCTCTAGTGCCCCCTAGGGTAGGCATGTCCCACACATTGAAAGGTCCTTTTGTAAATTAATCGATTTCTAAAATAATTGGTTGCTGCAGCCTTACATTAAAATACGTTTTGGAATGATAATCCATATGACGTCTGAGCTTAAAACTCCAAACAGAGCAACTGTCTTAAAGAGGTAATTATACTGAAGGAAACTCATTTCGGTCTTCGTATTCGTGATCATGTCATTTCGGTCATTACCCAGATCTCGTGAGGGGGGAAACGTAGATCAATCTGTAAATCGAGAGCTTTGCCCCCCAGATTCAGCTCGATCTTCACCATGACAGTCCCATACAGCAACCGCATCACCGCCGACTAATGGCATCGATCCATCTGTCAATCTCACTCTCCATCCGTCCCTCACTCGTGAATATGACCCTGATATACTTGAACTCCTCCACTTGAGACGAGGACTCTCCACCTTTCTCCGGTGGAGAACCATGGCCTCGGATTTGAAGGTGCTGATCCTCATACCGGCCGCCCTACACTTAAACCTTGGCTGCAAACCTCCCTAGTTCACGTTGGAGGTCCTGGTTTGATGAGGCCAACAGGACATCATCTGCATACAGCCTTCAGTCCCTGGCTGCGCCGAGAAATTCTGTCCATAAATGTAATGAACATAACCAGTGACAAAGGGCAGTCCTGGTGGAGACCAACATGCACCTGAAACGGGTCTGACTTACTGCCGACAATGCAAACCACGCTCCTCATGTGTACAGAGAGTACAGAGAGTGGACAGCCCTTAACAGAGGGCCGCAGACCCCATTCTCCCGGAGCACCCCCCACAGGGCACCACAAGGGACAAGGTCGAAAGCCTTCTCCAGGTCCACAAAACACATGTGGCCTGGTTGGGCCTCTGAGCACCTGATGAAGGGTATAGAGTTGGTCCAGTGTGCCTCGATTGTCACGAAAACTGTATTGTTCCTCCTGAAGCCGAGGTTCGACTATCTTTTTTCAATCCGTCTAAATAATTAACATCAATGCAACTCATTTGTCCATTTATTAATATAATCAACTAAGCATGTCTTTGTGTATTATTGCGATTTCATACTTTATTAATAGATATTGGATAATTATAACACCTGTAATCAATAAGACATTTTTTTTGTGTCCCTCCACTACTTGTCTGCGTATAATAAATTGAAACTATTACCAAAAATGTAGATTCTACTAGGGCTAAAACATTTAATCGGATTAATTGTAATTAATTGATAATTGAAATAATCATCAACTAATTAGGAAATCGGTTAATCATTAAATGAACTATAGAGACTCTAAAACATGCCTTTAGCTGACAGAGCAGTAAATTATATTGATTTTGTGTAAAAAAAAAAAAAAAAAAGTTTTGCATTTAAGAGACAATGACCTTTTTCATCTGTCTCTGATATATGCTATATCCAGAGCTCCACAAGTGAAATATTTTTAGTTTCACCTGATTTAATTTGGCAAAAAAAATCTTCTTTAAGGAATTTTTGGCTGTCTGATTATTAAGAGAAAAAATAATCGGCAGATTAATCAATTTGCAAAATAATATTTAGTTACAGCTCTAGACTCTACATCTTCCTTTAGTAAAGGGAACATACAAAATTACTTAAAGCGACTGAACCCAAACTCCTTTTATATATGACTTGAGAAGTGAAAATAAATAGTATCTTAAATAAAAATGCAGAATTACTGAGTGAGGACCGATTGCTGCCTCCTCTTTAAACTGCAGATCTGCTTCTTTTTTGGCATCCTGGCTATTCCTGGACCGCACTCTGTGGTCACGATCTTAAAACTCAGCGTGCACTCATACTTCCTCTGCAATTTGTGCTACTCAATTTTATAGATGCTCGTTTTATCACATTTTCTGACATTTTGCAGTTTGAAGCCTGAAACAGTTATCTCGCTGTCAGTCTGGATCTTAACCATTTCTGTCATCTTTGACA